GATACTTAGGCATGTCATACTTTTAATGTTATTATAACTATTTAAAAATTTTAATTTCCCTAATTGTATTCCTACTTAGGAATACAACACACACACACACTCACACACACATATAATATATATATATGTATGTATGTATGTATGTATGCATGTATATATTTAAAGCCCTCAAATTTTCTAAACTCATTTATTAGTTATGGAAACTTTTTATAAATTTAATAGGATTTTCTACATGGATAATAATGTAATTTGAAGATAAAGACAGTTTTACTTCTTAAATTCATATCTAGATATCTTTTATATATTTTTTCTTTTCTTATTACAGTGGCTAATGGTTTCCAATTTACAGTGCTGAATAAATGAGCATGAACAACCTTGTCCTTTTTCTGATGTTAGGGAGGAAGCATTTGGTCTTTCACCATTAAGTCTCATGTTAGTTGTAGCTTTTTCATAGATGTCCTTTGACATATTGACAAAATTTCCTTCTTTTCAGCTTTCTGAAAGTTTTAATTAGGAAGGGGTGTTGACTTTTATTAAATGTTTTTTATTTATCTACTTAGATGTTCATACGATTTTTCCTTTTTAGTCTGCCAATATGCCACTGATTGACTTTCAAATGTAAAATAACTTTTCTTTCTCAGGATAAACCCCTCTTGGTCATAGTATGCCAAGTTTTAAAATTTATTATTGTATTCAATTTGCTAAAATTTTCAGAACTTTTTCATGTTTATGTGCATGAGGAGTATTGATCTATGATTTTCTTTTCCTGTAATGTCCTTGTCTAGTTTTTATTATCAGAGTAATGCTGGCCTCATAAGATGGTTGGGAAGTAGTCCCTCTTCTATTTTCTGGATGGGATGATGTGAAATCGGTATTATTTTATTCCTAAAATGTTTGGTAGAATTTTCCAGTGAAGTTAGTGAAACCATCTAGCCCCAGAGGTTTCTTTGGGGGAAGGTTTTCAACTAAAAATTCTGTTTCTTTAAGACATGTAGGACTATTCAGTTGCCTTTGCAAAAAGATTGTCAGTGTGTGCCCTTTAAGGAAATGGTCCTTGTTATCTAAGTTAGTAAATTCATTGGCACATGGTTATACAAAATATTCCTTTATTGACCTTTTAATAACTGTGTGATATTACCACTCACATTCCTGATACTGGTAATTTATGTCCTATCTCCTTATTTCCTGAACAGTTTGGCCAGACGTTTATCAGTTTCTTTGATCTTTTCCAAAAAACAGCTTTTGGCTTTATTTTCTCTATTTTCCCTTTTCTATTACATTGATTTCTACTTTATTACTATTCCCTGTCTTCTGATTACTTTGAATTGATTTTCTCTTCTTACTCTAGTTTTTAAACTGGAAGCTAAGGTCATTGACTTGATGTCTTTCATTTTCTAAAATAGACACTATAAATTTCCTTCTAGTAACTTTTTTAGCAGCATCCCACATTTTTTTATATGCTGTGCTTTTGTTTTCATTCAGTTCAAAATACATGCTAATTTCCATTTTGATATCTTCTTTGATTACTGGTTTATTTAGAAATGTGTTACTTACATCCAAATATTTGAGGGTTTTCCACAAAGCTACCTGCCAATAATCTCTAATTTAATTCTATTACGGTCACAGAATAATTTATAATACTTTTATTATGTCAAACACATTGAGACTTATTTTATAGCCAGAATGTAGTCTATTCTGGTAAATATGATCTTCACTTGAAATGATTATGTCTTCTGCTATTGTTGTGTGTGTAATTCTATAAGTATCAATTAGGTCAAATTAGTCACTAGTGTTGTTCTAGTCTTCTGTATCGTTACAGATTTTTTCCCACTTGTTCTACTAATTATTGAAACAGAAGATTTGTTATTGTTGACTGCAGTTGTATATTTTTAGTTTTATCAACTTTCATTTCATGGATCATGAAGCTAAGTTATAATTTGAACAAATGTATAAGATTATTATAGTTTCTTGGTTCATTAATTCTTTAATCATTATGAAATGATCCTCCTTATCCCTGGTTAATGTTCTTTATATTGAAGTTTACTTTGTCTGATATAGATTTAGCCACTACTTCAGCTTTCTTTGGATTAGTTTTATCATTGCATACATTTTTCCATGCATTTATTTTTAACTGGTTCCTGTGTTTAACGTTTAAAGTGCGTTTTTTTTAAGACTAACATATCGATGTATCTTGTTTTTTTTAATCTACTCTGACAACATGTTTTTTTTAAATGGGGTGTTTAGATTATTTATATTTAATGTGATTATTGATACAGTTAGGTATAAACCTACCATCTTATTTATTTTCTTTTTCTCCTATATGTTATTTGTTTCCCTTTTTCCACTTCATCTGTCATCTTTTGAATTGAGTATTTTTTTAAATGATTTCATTTTATCTACTTTTTTAGCTTGTTAGCTATAATTCTTGTTATATTATTTTAGCTTCAGAGTCTATCATACATATCTTTAACTTATCAGTTTACTTTCAATTGATATCATACCATTTGACAAATATGGTATAAAAATCTTTCTTCCATTTCTATTATTGTTATTTGTACTATTGCCTTCATACATTTTACTTCTACATGCTCTTATCTCTATAATGTATTATTTTTTGTTTTAAACAATAAATTATATTTTAAAGATACTTAAGTAATAAGAAATGAGATCTTTATTACCTATGTAGTTACTATTCCTAGTGCTTTTCATTTCTACCTGGTATCATTTTTCTTCTGCTTGTGGGACTTCCCTAAGTATTGTTCATTGTACAGATCTGCTGGTAATAAATTCTTTCAGTTTTTGAATATCAGAACTCCTTTTTTGCCTCAATATTTGAAAGCTATTTTCATTGGGAAAGGATTTCTATATTGACAGGTTTTTTTTCTTTTAGTATTTTAAAGATATTCTTCCACTCTTTCCTCACTCTTATTGTTGTCAATGAGAAATCTGCTGTCAGTCTTGCCTTTGCTCTTGTACATAGTATGTCTTTTCTTTTTGTCTACTTTTAAGATTTTCTCTTTATCACCAATTTTAAGCAACTTCATTATGATTTTCTCTGGTTTCTTGTCTATGTGATTTTTGTGTATGGAATTTGTGGACCTTCTTGGATCTGTGAGTTATAGCTTTCACAAAATTTGGAATTTTTCCAGACACCATTTCTTCTAGTATTTTTCTGTTCCCTACTTCTTATATTCAGATATTAGGCAATAGGAAGTTTCTCAAATTTCACTGATGCTCTGTTAATTTTTTTCAATATATTTTCTCTCTGGCTTTCATTGTGAATAGTTTCTATTTCTATTTCTTCATCTTCACTAATATTTTCTTCTCTAACCTACCATTAGTCACATTCAGTATTTTTTTCATTCATACATTGGAGTTTTCATCTCTAGAAATTTCATTTGAGTCTTTTTATATCTTCCATGTCTCTATTTAACATCTTCAGTCTTTCCTCTAGCTTCTTGAATATACAGAATACAATTATAAAAACTGTTTTAACATCCTACATATTAATTCTATAATCTGTGTCATTTCTGGGTCAGTTACAATTGATTGATTTTTCTCTTTATTATAACCCTGAACTAAGCAAGCTGAAGCAACCCTGGTTCCATAGTTATGATAATGACAATGTTTGGCCTTGTCATTATCATTGAAAGTTAACTTTTGGTGTGCATCCAGTTTACAGCACTGATTCTACCCCAGAAATCTTGTTACTTACTCCACATACAGCACCATATCAAACTGGGACTTGCTTTGGATTTGTTTGCCCCTCCTTGTGAACTGCTCTTAGATCCTACTAGCACTGGCCAGTTTGCATGATGCCAAGTTACTGTCTCCATCTCCCTTCTGCCCAAATTTCTTGACTAATGTTGGACTGAATTTGACCTACAGGCAGTATAACACTGTAGCTAAGAGTGGGTTACAGAGTCTGACTACTTGAGTTTGCATTCCTCCCAACCACTTAGTAGATATGATCTTGAGTAAGCGACTAATTTGTTTGTACTTCAATTTTTTCATGTGTAATAGTAATAATGATAACTATCTTATCAGGTTGTTATTAGAATTAAATGTGACCATATGATATGAAGAAATTATTAGTGTCTGTCTCAAACTTTTTGTTGTTGTTGTGAGAGTAAGAGGTACAGCTATGATTTACACCTGGGAATCTGACTCTGTAGATAACACTCTAAACCGTTATGTGATATTCTAGTACCTGCTGAAAAATATGCTTTGTATGTTAGAGAAAATATCTTTTTGCATTTGTTGCTGGGCTACTTTCTGTGGTACCTAAGTGCTCTGGTTCTGGTTTCAGCCCTAAGCATATCTTAACTGCCTATCCATCCAGAAAGAGTTGGGTAATAGCTTTCTACGTCTTAAAGTGCAGTAGGACTGGTTTCCACCAACACTAGGTGAAATCAAAAGACAAATGAGCAAGAAAAAAGAAAGCATTTATGAAATAATATTTCCAGACTGTTGGAGATAAATCAACTTTCTTCCTCATTATTAATTTTTTGTCCTAAATCTATTTTTCACTTTTACTATTAGCTTCCCAAGTCAGAAAAAAACAAACAGGAAGGACACTTTTGGTAACTCAAAAGCCATCAGGTTTTTGTATGCTTGATTTTCTCTCATATCTCAAGATTTCATATTCAGGAAATGGATAAAAGGTTTGAAATGTACACAGAACATTAAAATTTTAAATAAACAATTAAAATGGATATAAAGAAAGGAGTTCTAATAATTATGGAGTAAAGCAGCAGCTTGTACACAACATAGACACACATTGAAGGCCAATATTTTACTTTAAAAAATATGTAAGAAACACTATCAAATTAAGTAACATTGTCAGGCTTATTTTAGATTAGAAAATTAACATTGATATCATGAATACAAATTTAAACACCTAATGTATATTTCATCTAAGCTGGGAGGCATAATTTTACTGTTCAGAAATCTTGAAATTAGCATTTATTATTTTGAGCCAAATAGCTCATAAGCATTACCTTTTCTGTAGGATTAGTTTATATCCTTCTAGTGATATTCCTTCAGCAGCCTTGATTCTGATTGGATGACCAATGCCCAGGCAGCCCTGAGTTATTGCTCGGCTCAGGATCATTCCAGTCTTCCAATGAATAGAGAGAGGGGAGAAAGGTCTAAATAAGTTAAAAGAACCAGAAAATTCAACAATGTGTCACAAATAGTGAGGTCATTATGCCTGGATAACCCTGGGTATTAACAGTTGCTGAAAGTGAAACACTACCCACAACTTAGCAGTCAGCGAGCCCTGCTCAGAATCAGTGATCTTCTGTCCTACAAGAGTGGCGTTTTACAGTTCAGCACAAAATAAAACAGACCTTGATATCTTCATCTGTCCTTTTTTTCTGTGCATATTTCACAGTACAACGATTTGGGATCCATCATGTGTCACTTGTTATAGTTATAACTACAGAGGTTTATTGAAATATGTATGCACAGAAGTAAAGTCCAGTGACTGAAAAGATTGAAACAAATCCTTAAACTTCACAACAATTTAAAGTTTTACATAGGATCTAAATGCAATGGGTTAAACATTTTAAGGTGACTTATGAACTGCTTTTATATTAAATGTTAGGATTCTCTGATAAGAAAATTGGTTGAGAGTATTGTTTGAATGTCCTTTTAACAATTTTCTTACTTAGTGAATCAACACAACATTTTAAATAAGTGACAATCACTGAAGAATTTATTTACACGCATTGAGGATTTATGGTATGTGAAATTCTCCATCAACAGGTGAAAAGATTATTTTGATAAAGGGATGAGGATATCCACTCTAAAAAGGCTTTCAAAAAAATTTTTTAGCATATAACTTTTACTTCTCATGTATTTGTTGTGTGGGAAAGAAATATATGGTAACTTAGGGAAAGTATTTTGTTTTAATTTTGGTTCTTATAAGCCCTGAATGGAATCCTCATTTGAACATGAAATGGAGCTAACTACTTGGGGTGAGGAAAAAGAATCACCATTTATTGAAGAGTTGCACATATATACCAGGTACTGTGCTTAAATTCACAAATGCTTTCTCATTTAATCTGTACAGTAACTGTGCAAGACAGATAGAACTAACTTCACTTTATAACAAGGAAATGGTGGTTCAGGACAGCTAAATAACTTTCCCAAAGTCACACAAGGATTCTAATTCTGTCTATTCATCTCCAAAACCCATACTCTTTTCAGTAAGCATTTCAATTATTTTTGAGGAAATTTTAAGCAATTATAGGTTTCTGATATGAAATGATGGAAACAGATACCATGGAATTACAGAATATGAGATCTAGGGAAACACCTTCCATAAGAACTGATCCAACTCTTTTCAGATGAGAAGGTAAGTCATACAGTATATGACTTACCTGAGATGTTAAACCTAAAACAATCCATCATGCTCATAAATTGGTTAAATACAGAGCAGTGTAATATATAGCACATTGAAGAGGGATAAATTTTGAACTCAGGAAGACCAAGAATCTTTCTCTGCTGATTACTAGCCTCAGTTTTTTTCAACTGTATAATAAAAGCCTGCACAGTTATTATAAAATTAAATGAGATAATAAATGTGTCTGTCAGATGTAACATATAGCATATGTTTAACAAAAGACAGATATTATTATTAAATTAGAAACAAATATAACTTACAAAGGGCTAATAGTTATTAGTCTCCAGGTTGGAAGCAGATGTAAGAAATATCTCATATCACCTCATTCTGCCTTGGGTTATGAGATGAGTAATATCTCTAAGCACACTTGCATCTTAATTACTCTAAATTTAACTCTCAGAGGATCAAAAAATGATAGTAAAGGGCAATCCAAAATTTCATTTGAGAAAACAGTTTCAACTTCCCCTCCTCCCAAACTAAGTAGCAGGACATTGATTGAGTGACTCTGCACCCATGGAAGAAGCACAAAGCAGCAAAAACAGCCTACAGTTAGGGGGTAACGGGAGGCACAAGAAGGGTAGATACAAACTGCATCATTTCTTCCCAGACATAAATATTTGGTGGCAAATAAAAAATATCTCAATAGTAAGAAAGAAGAGGAAGGCAATTATATGTTCTGTTTAAATCAGATTTTATAGTATAAAGTAAAAAATTAAATAGTGCCAATACATAGGTGTAAAATGTCTTAGGCACTGTTCACATTTTATACTCAGGGATTTCTTTTAAAACTGTTCTTACAAAGACATTTGCTGGCATTATATTGTGCTAATCCACTGGGCTCTGAGAAACTCAATGCTGAAGACTAAGGAGTAGAACAGAATGAGATTCAGACAAATATGAAAATGGTGAGTTGGTGGACTGTGCATTAGCTGTATGCTGCGTTTAAATTCCCTCTGGAATACAAACTAACCAACATATCCAAAAGTGAACAGAATGCTCACGTGGGGATTTACAGAAGTCCTCTGCTCTAGACAAAATAAGAACAGAGAAGCAGTATTCATAATAGTCAACAATTTATCATGCTGTCACTTGCATGCTTGTGTGCATGAGGGTACCAGGAGCTGGAAAGCCTGGCGAGCCAGCCACCTAGCATGGGAAATCAGTCAGGGAGAACAGACACTCTTGGGTACCTTCGTGATCAGCCACACACTGGCTGCAGGCCACAGGGTTGACCGTGCTACCTGACTTCCGCTGCTTGCTTCACTACTTGAGAAGCTCCACTTTCTGATGAAAACAGAGGCATGAAGGACAATATTGGGGTCCACCTGAGCCAGGAGAAGAAGTATGTGACTTTAACTTGTAGTCTGAAAGCTAAATATCCTTAACACACTTATCCAAAATAAATTATCCTAGATCATTGTTTCTGATTGGAAGGTATCTTATGAAACAGTGGAGCTCAATCTCATTTCATTCAACTCAATTGATATTTGTTGAGCTCTGATATGTGAGGTCCCAGACTATGTAGCATGGGACATTATAAAATATGTTTTCTGTTCTAAAGAAACAACAACTGGGGCAACAACACACACATACACATAAATTCATGTTAAGCTCCATAGGAATGATTAAATAATTCCTAAGGTATGCAAAGAATGGTAGGCTCATTTCTGCTGGAGCAATAAAAATTGGAGCATCTTGAAAGAAGTAACATCTTACCCAAGCCTCCTTAGTTTAACAGGAATAATGAAGGATAAAAAAGGCATTCCAAGCAAAGGCAAGGAAATACAATCAATGTGTCTTAGTATTTGTTGGTAGGCTCACAGGGTAAATCTTATCAAACCATAGAAGGAGTCAAGTGTAAGTGTAAGGCTATAGAGTTAGATGTCAGTAGGAAGCTAGTGAAATCTTTCAAGCAGGAGGGACTGGATGATAGCAGATTTTAGTAAGGTTGATCTGGCAAGGGTAGACATAGCAGATTGTAGAATGGAGATATTAAGGGCAAGGAGAACAGTTGGGAGTCTGCACAATCTCCTAAGAATAAAGGGATATGAACTGAGAATTTAATGACAGTTGTGGCAATGGGCAGGGGGGACCAACTGGGGAAACACAGCATCGGTGTCTCCCATGTTTATTATCATAGGTAGTGTGCACCTTGAGCATTTCTCATTTAAGACTTAATTGTCATATTGACAGGCATTCATAGAACCTGTAGAAATTCTACTATTTCATGTTTAGTAAACTTTATCTCCTAACATGATCACTCTGTTGAGTAATCATGCTGTTTTTAAATACAATATTTATTTGATTAGAATTATCGAACTATACTAATTTATGCTTTAAACCCAATAAATGATGTTGCCTCAATAAGTTTAAATTATTTTCTAATAATAAAAAGTCTATTCTAAATCTGTGCTAATAATAGATATTTGTTAAGCAGCAAATGATTTCTAAAGTGCAAAAATTGAATGATAATTTAAAAGGTAATATTTTACAAATGTGATCAATTACAAATGGGTACAACTAATACATATGGTAATTATTCTGTAATAAAAGTTACTACTCAAGAGAAGAAAATGTCCTATGACCCCAATATATGAAAATAAATTTAAAGAATACAGCAACCACACCACATAAGAAGATCTGACTTCTAGCTTTTTGATTCTATATTTCCCAGTTACCCAGTAGTGGCTGGATTCTTGAAGGGAATCCCCCACAGGTCCTGAACAATGATAAACTATATTCTACTAATCCATCCACCACAGGACTCGGCATTTAAAATAGCACTCTTACTCAACCTCCCCACTCCAAGTTGCCATCACACTCAAAACTCTCCTCTGCAACCGGGAAGAAGATTGTTTTGACTGGAATTAGTCAGACAGAAGAACCGTACTGCCAACTGCTTCTTTGTATAGCACCTGCTGCCAGCGCCTAAATTCTTGTTATCTCCACAACATGGTTTAATCTTTTAACAGTTGGCTTATTGGTGAAGAGCGAAGGGGTCCTTTGTGTCTGCCTTGGGTTGGCACCCAGTATTAACACCATGCTGTTCTTTGAGAGAGATTTTGCTGGACGGTTCCCAAGTGATTCTACATAGACAGACACAGCCAGGCCCACTAACTCAGCTTCATTTAATGTTATTAAAAAAAAGAAAAAATCCTGCCAAGTCTGGGGTTCTGATACACTGAAAACTGACAATGGCTGTTAAATTTCTCTTCATGACATCACCTTTTTTCTCTTCAGTTTAATCTGATATCTTAGCTTTAGACCAAACATTTATGAAGGTGGGGAAGATTAAAAACTGTGAAAATTGGAATTTAGAAAAGAAAAGTGCTCTGACAACCTGAAACAAAATATGCCCTGTGTACATGCACACACACACAGACATGTGTATATAGAAGCATTTATGTTGAGGCTGTTCTCTAACTTCATACCATCATATATATCATCAGAATCTTTGGAGTCCTGTTGAGAATCAAAAGAAGAAATTTTCTTTTATCTTTTTGAATATATATATGTACCCTTTAAATGACCGTTATGGTTTTGCTTGTCTGAATAACTGCTGATGCAGAAGATGCCAACAATAAAAATGATGAATACACATGCTGGCTCTACTAAAACCTATTGTTTAATTTCCTTAACTCAAATCATTAATGAAAATGGAGTTGCCTTCAGTAGTCCTAGCAAATTCAAAATAATAAAAGAACCACTTACGATCTTTTCTTGCAGATCTACTGAGGAACAAAATGCAAGGCAATGATATTTTTCTTGAAAGGAAAAGCTCATAGATCATAACTTTTATTCTAAACAAATTGTTTACTTACTATATAGAAAGAAGATTTTTCACTTTTGACAGTGAATTTAGGGCCAAGATAAATGATTTGATATACAAATTAAAATCACAGCTGTAAGAAATGTTATAAAATGTTCTCTTCTCTCTTTTCTCATGCTCACTTATTGTTTCTGTCCTCTAAATCTGTAGCTGATAAATCAACCTACCTCAAAGGCCATGAACTGAAAACATTTGAAAGCAGAAAATACCAGCAGGTACCTAGTTATGCAACCAAACAAATATCTAAGGCAAAATATCTAAGATCTAAGTATGTACTCCTAATATAGCTTCCAATTATTGGTCTAAAATTAAGGAAGGGACTTGGGATGTTATTTAAAGTCCTGTGTCCTAATCTAATGGCAATATCAGTTCAGAATTTAAATTAAAATTTTATTTTTCCTTATGATAATTTATTTCTAGAAAGTATTATTTCTGAATGACTTGTTTCAATGAAATAGGATAATAAAGAACTATTTGCCTTTTCCCTGCCTCCTTTGTGACATACAGAATAACACATTAAGCTAGCATCCATGACTGTTGAACTTACAAGTTAACATGTAACAAGTATACCATAATTCAAAAATCAAAACTTGGTGCTTTTCTTGCTGTTTTCCATACCAAAAGTTGCCACTAATTTCCTACTGATGTCTGATTGTACCAAAAGGATAGGATCAAAATAAATTTTCTTTTTATTTTGGCAGAATATATGACCTTCCAAACACTGGAGTCCATTTTTCTGCTATATTTTCCCAAACCAGCCATGCCTCAAGCTATTCTCATGTATTGTTTTTATTATATATTAACTACCATGAAGTTTAAATCTCATCCATTTCATGAAAACATATAATTTTATGGCTCTTAAACTGAGACAACCTAAAAATTAGTTGACAATTTAAGTAACAATAGACAACAGCTAAAACTTGTATCTGACAAATTGTCCATTTGTATTAGATTCCAAATCTTTTTTTGAAATGGATAAAAGAGCATCAGGTTGTAATTGTCAGGGTTATATCTGTCTCCCACAATACTAATAGGGGTTATATTTTCAAATTTTTCTCTGTAAGAATGGTTTTTACTTGTCAATAGGAGATTTAAAAGAATAGTCAGGGATTGGGGACAGATATGTCTATCTCAAGCCAGTTTTAAAACATATGCATCAAGAATATCGGCTTTTGCCTCCCCACCTCCCCCACCCCTGGTGTGACCCTCTTAGTGCTTTCTTTGCCACAGTGAGCATCAGGATTCTACAACAAAATGCCCTATAGATATCCATCGCCTCTGCCAGAATGTCTTCCTCAAAGTGCTCCTTTTCGGGTTATTAAGTTACTATTTCCAAAGCACCTCTCTGTGTATAATTAGTGACACTTCTCTGAAAGAATTTTAAAGGTTTCATAACTAAATGAGGACCATTTTATTGAAAGCTTGTCTTTATCAAATCTTTACTTTCTTATACTGCTATTTTGGTTGAACTAAAATTTTACTCAAAACCTATTTCTTCTTCTAAAAATATAATAGTGAGCAGACTTCTTTTTAAGATGCAAGTTTTCTCATTTTCACTGAATCATTAGAATCAGTTAATGATTAACTAACTGTAAATTGATATCATTTCATTTTTCAACATTAGAAAATATAGTTATTAAAGTACTACATTGGCATAAAATAAAAAAGAAAACTCTACTTTGGGTTCTTTTCCTCTAATGATCCTTTGATAGATATCCTTTTGATTTCTGCTGAATATAAGTAATGAATTCAATTCCATTTAGCCAACTCTTAGCAGCTAAGTACTGCGGCACAGACAAGGATGAGCAGAATGCCCATTGCCCTAGAGGACTTTCTAATTCTAGCAGGGAGGAAAAGACAAGGACCTCCTGAGTTACTTTCCTATCATCAGGATCAAATCAGATCTTGACTCTTCTTGAATGTTCTCAATGACTCCTCGCTTTCCACAGAACAACATCCAGAATCCCTCATTGAATTAAGATCCTTTGTGATCTGATTCCAATATTCTCAGGGGAAGCTACCATTTTCCCCATTCTACCGCAGTGTGATCTGAAATGTGCCCAAACTTGGAACACTGGTTGACTTTGAATCATGAAAAAATGTTTTAAGAAAATCAGCATCAAGTTCAATGCCATTATAAATGGCACAGAATGGGTGCAATGAGAGTATCAAAGGCAGAATCATTATATCTGGTTTGGGACTGGGGTTGGGTAAAGAAAGATTTCATAGAGCAGGCACACATCAGATAAGGCTAGAAAGATGTACAGGATTTCAATAAGCATTTATTGAATGCCAACTATATGCCAGACACTGTGCTAGAATATAGCACAAGGGTGATGAAGAAGGCTGGGGGTGGTGACAAACAAAGAAAGGTTGAATTCCAGGCAAATGGACCCACATGGACATAATAACAGAAATCATGGAGTGCTTTTCAGAAAACAACAAATGAACAATCTAGCCTGGCTAATACACAAAGAACATACTAGAGAAAAACAGGTTTTAGCTAAATTTTAGAAACCATTCATCAGAAATGTATTGTACACATGCCCTAAATTCAAGACTTTGTGCTATCATTCTGGAATACAAAGATGAGTAAGATATAACATCTACATCCAAAGAATTCTCAATTTAGTGCAGGAGAAAGACACAAAAGCAAAAGTCTATACCAACCCCCACCTCCCCCACCCCCGCCAAACTCTAAGAACAATTATCAAAGGACACAGAAGGAGCTCTGAGAACACAAAATAATTTGAGGTTAATTCCCACTGGAGAATATGAGGCCTCATGAAAGAAGTTGAATAAAGCCCTAAAAGGCAGTGGGATGTGAATCTCAGGCAAGAACAGCACATGCCATGGCACAGGCATATCAAAGTGATAAGCATACTAGGGAACACAGTTCATTAGCTCTGACTGTAGTACAGGGTACAAAGAAGATCAAGAGCAAGGAGAAGACTGGAAAGGCAAGTTGAGAGTAGAAGAAGAATGCAGATGGATCATGGAGATACTGAAGGCCAGATGAGGATTTGGAATGTCAGTAGGGAACAGCCAGGCATACAAGTTATTTGAGCAAGAACATAGTGTTACAGCAGAGACTTAAAAAAGAATGCCAATAGGGTCAGGACTGTGGTAAATAAATCTTAATGTCAAATTAATATAAAATATAAAAAGCATTAATTCTTAGTATAACATTCAACTTACATTTTATTTTCTAAATTTGTTCAAAACCACACAGGATTAGAAATAATTATTTATTTTATTTATAACGTATACTATTTAGATTCATAAATGCCCTGAAACAACTAATGCTTTCAGTATCGATGTTGCTGTAACAGGTTGAAGTTAAAAAGTAACAGGTTCAGACAATGTGTCTTTTGCATTGTCTCTTAGAAATGAAGATCCCAGACCAATTAACAGGAAGTCCTACTTTGGGTATCTCTATCTCTATGGGTGCTTTTTGGTTTTGATTTTATGAGTTCAAAAATTAAAGATTATGCAGCTGAAATGAACAACAACCCTACATAATTTACCAACAGAGAAAAGCAAAAGAATTCTTCTTTGGAGACATGTTTAAAATGCTTTTCATAGTCAGAGAAAAACATTCTTTACTGGCAAGTAAATTTCTAAGTGTAAATTAATAATGTACCTTCTGGAATGGGTTGTCATGAATTGAGTTTTCTAAAGAACTTGTGTTCCTTAGATACATTGACCTATAGAGCAAATAGATCAGATCCTGAAGTACAGAGAGACAATAGCCATCTTAAAGACTTTCTTAAACAACTCCAACTTATTAATACAGTTGGTATAAAGAAAATGTGCTAGGTTTCACTTACATGTGGAACCTAAAAAAACAAAACAAACAAACAAATAAAACAAAAACAGACTCATACACACACAGAAAACTGGTGATAGCCATGGTGGAGTGGATGGGTGAAGTGGGCAAAGTGGGGTAAAATTAGAGAGGATGTTTGATATCTTAATCTGGGTGATGGTTATATAAATATATACACATGTCAAAATTCATCAAGCTGTATACTAAGATTTTTGCATTTTACTGTATGTACCTCAATATTAAAAAAAGATAATATGCTAAACAGTAGTACTTAAATGACATAATTCAGGTAGAATTTTTTTAAGTAAGAATGCTATATATTGGTTTAGTTTTAAAGTGCTTAATTTATTACCTGGAAGTAAAGAATAATACTTGCCCCAATGTTTGTAAAATAATTTATAGTTTTCAAAAAAAATTTCACAAATATCCCCTCAGTTACCATGCATTGACAGAAGGTCCATAAAATAGTCTTATTAGATACAAAAAGTCATTCTAACCTTGTTCTGTAGGAAATGGTTCTCCAAGCCCACCTTTTCAAATTGATCAGGTATCTGTTGACTGGTACTGTCGAAATTAATTGGAAATCCCTCACAAACTTCCCAACTACAAAAAATTAAATATTAAATTATTTTTGTTAGAATAAAATTTAATTTTAATACTCTTTAATCTACTAGGATAATAATTTATGTATCTTATACTCTACTAGTGAGAGAAAAACCAATGTTTAGATCTTAATATTATTAAACAGAAATTTGTAAAGTACTTTTATATCTATAATTGGGAAAGGAAGGCATGTTTTTACTTTGCAATTATTTATGATATTAGGGGATTCCATGCTTAATTAATGATTAATAGAACAAAGAAAAAATTATTTTTAATTTTACAGAATCCCTCATAGTGGAGAGCATCTTCACTGTTAAATTTATATTCTAAATACATAAGGACTATGAGTAATAGAAGATGTCATTATACTTATAATGGTTGTGTTAAGCACATTAGTTTGGTATTTTTAAGAGAGCCTTATGAGGCAGCACAGTCTAGTGGGCAAATGGACAAACCACAAACTAGAATGCTTGGATTTCATTCTTAGTTCAGCCAAATCACTTATTTTAAAAGTGATCCAATCTGTACCCTAAAGAAAATTACCTGGCTCAAATTGATGTTACAACATACCACATGTTCAACAACATGCCGTTCAACAGAAACCAGTTCTGAGACTGGTAATAGTATTTTTTTCAATATCATGGAAAATAAAAGTATGATTATGATTACTAAGATTTCAAATGATCCACTTTAGAGTACAGAAAGAAAATTCAAATGGAATCCAAAAATTAGGTAAATTATTTCCAAATTAGTTTGTGTTCAAAGTTTCACATTGTTATTATCAGGGACCTAGATCTAATTTGAATAAACTCAACAGAAGATTATTCACTGCACCTGGAGAAGTAAAATTAAGAAGGAATACATGAATTAAAAATTAAAATCCATGCTAAAAGTTGAAGGGAAAAGGCCTAGGCAAATTTAGACCTTTTGGAGAAAGATTATTATGCATGAAATACATATTCTTATAAAAAAGAATGCTGGTGAAATACTTTCTCTCTATAAAGAACAAGACAAAACATTCAAATCTTGCTGGGAAAGTATAGGCAGTCATTGTGGGTGGGGTAGAGTTGTTGTTTAAACAACCTTGGAAGATCAAAGAGTTTGTCTTTCTAGACGTATTTAGCAGTAGGTGGACATTAGCTAGACTGAGTCGCCTCATTAGATCGCTTTTGGTCCTCTGGATTTGATCTCTACTTCAGCCTTTTCACCTATATATATTAAGGAAAGTTGTAATTTAGGCTAGATAGGACCTTACAGATAGATCACCTAATCCAACACAGAGTCAGTATTGGGCTGCAATGTCCAACAAGGTATCCACTAGCCACATACTCCTATTTAAATTAAGCAAAATGAAAAATTCAGTTTCTCAGTCACATTAGTCACATTTCAGGTGCTCAGTAGTAATACAGTATGTTTTCATCATCACAGAGAGTTCTGTTGGACAGTGCTGGGTAACTGCTAGGCCATTAGTTCTTACAAAAGACAATCTGGGTTAGAATCCTGGCTCTATCATGTACCAGTCTTGTGACTGGACAAATTGCTCTCTGTGCCTCAGTTTCTCTCTCTCTAGAAAATGGAGCAATAATAGGAATTAATAAGATTAAAATGATTGTTTTGAAGATTACATCAATTCTTACCCAATTTATTTTAGAACTGTGCTTGGCCTGTGATCAACACTTAGTAACTGCTGGGTTTTTTTATTTACAGATAAGAAACTGACACCCATCTGCTCATAGACAATCATTAGCAGAGATGCCCAGACCTTCTAATTCCTGCTCTTCTCACTGCCAAGCTTCCAGCATACTACTTTCGTTCTTAATTTATCATCATTAAATGAAATGCTTAAATATGAACACTTACATGAAAAAAAATCATTTAATATTTTAATGATTCAATTCAAAACTATTAATTTAGAGAATCCACTAAAAAGTTTTTACATTTCAAATAAAATTGTTAACTCTGCTAAGCAGAAACTTTAGTCTGCTCGTTGCTCCGAAGGCTTTTTAATACTCAAGGAAAGTTAATTGTAAGGCTTTTAGGCACTAGGTGTTTATATCATAAAGTAAGTCAACAAAATAAGTAATTGCTTGTTTAAGATAATTCGAAAAACATCTTTCAGTGTTTCAATCTCTCACTCTGGGAAATCTGAGTTAGATGATTCAGATTACTTTAACAAAGCACACGTAAATTTACTTGTCACATCCAGGTAGCAGAATAGCATTAGGATCCAAGAAGGTTTTATATGCAACTGTCATGCCACCTCTGGCATATGCAGTCACCTGGTCAAAGGTTAAACCCAGAACAGGGTTTAGGGGAGATCTGAAAAATGAAAAAAAATATCAAAGCTATTTACAAAATAATACAAACAATGAAATTTGAGCACAAGTAAACAAAACATATAATATCAAAGTCTAAAAAAATCTAGAAATAAGTGAATTTCCTGTTATACAGCACAAATTTTGGTGTCCTACACTGACATCAAAATGCACATTTGAGTTTATTTGGCTGATTTATAATATACCAAAGGTAGTTACAACACATGCAATTTAAAAAAATCTTTTAAATAATAAAAATGAAGCATTTAGTTAATAAAAACCAATTGTCATTCATGTAATGTTCATTTTCCATGTATAATTACAACACACCCTTAATAATCTTTGAAGCTAGTAATTAACTGAATTCTTAATATTTAGCTACAAACAACTATTTTGTGTGTATGAGTTTACTAAATGCTATACTGATCTGATTTTTTTGTATTGCATACTGTTAGGTACATTGTTTTAAGTTAATTTAACTTAATTATTTGAGAATTAAAATCAAATGGGAAACAGATCTTAAATAAAAAGAAGGGCCACTGTGTCAACTACGAGCCATTTTTTTTCCAAATCCATGACCAAGACTTGTTATTTAACTTTATAATTGTAGGACCCAAACAAGTCAACCTGTGAAGTACTGTCAAAAACACTTAGCTGAATCTAATCGTGAGAAAACACTCAGACAAATCCAGAACGTGGGTTGTACTACAAGAAAAGCACCTGGACTCCTCAAAAGAAAAATCAGTGTCATGAAAAACAAAGCAAAAGGTGAGGGAATATTCTAGATTAAAGAGAACTAAAGAAAACAAATGCAACACATGAAACTAATTTGGATATTGAATTACAAAAAGCTCTAAAACACATTTTGGGTAGTTTGTATATAGATTGTATATTAGACAACATTACATTATTGTTGACTGCGATAGATATTATAATGTAATAGAATAGAAGAACATTTTATTCTTCAGTTATGTACCTGAAGCATATGAGTATAACTTTAATGATTAACTGGAATTAATTTCAAAAAAGATTAAGAGAGAGAAGGGAGGTATAAGAGGCAAAACAAATGTGGAAAACTCTTTAAAATGGTGAACCTAGGTGCATGATATATGTTTCCATTGTACTGATTTTTCAAGTTTTCTGTATGTAGACTGCATATTTTTCAAAATAGAAATTGGGAGAAAAATAATTAAAGGACTCAAAATAGAAGCTGATATTGGCAAAATTATCTTTTGCAAATAACTAATCTGACCCCCCGTATTAACATATATTAAACATGTTAGAATTACTCCCTGAAAATGAGTATCATTTATTCAGTACATATTGGCCATTTTCTCAATATATTTTAAACTAGAAAGAAATTATTTTTAGATGCAAATTTTAGAATTCCAATAGTAGCACAGTGCTATAACAGCTACTTAGTGCTTTATATTGGATTCAAAACCAGAAAAAAAGTACATCATCCTATTAAAATAACAATGACATATAAATATACACATTTATGAATTCCTCTAGCTACAACCCTCAGTTGACTGTTGATTTTAGAATATTCCAGATATTTAGCATTTTACTAGTTATTCCACACATATGATTCTATTAACCAAGAACAAGTGTTTGAGCTTATTAAAATACTATATTGTAGCAAACATGATTTAAAACACCAAAATTAATCAGGCATTGCTTTCACTTTAACAGTGATATTTAAGAATTATTAAACACACATTTTTTAAAGCCTTTTCTTGTAATTGGAAGAATTTGCTAAATTATTCAAGAATTCTTGCCACTTTAAAATTCATTGCTATTTTTTTCATTGTAAAAACAAATCTCCTGAAGTAATTAAATTATATTTTGAAATCTGCCTATGAAGAAAACATCATTCCTTACAAATATTTTTAATTCTATTAATTACACAGCCTAAGAAATTATTGAGCATTTTAATGGTATGGTACTGGAACAGATGAAATAGAATTTTGTAATATGCTACCCATAACTAATCCTACCAATTCCTTCCAAAACCTTCATGGATTTCTCAGTAGATTTGTTTCAGTATTTGAAATTCTGACTATTAGAATAAACAGCAAATCCAATCAGCTCCTCATTCTTTCTGTGCTGTTTCATTACAATTAATATATGATCAATTATACTCTGTAAGCAAAGTTATTTTCCTTTATTTCCCCTATCCTGTCCTACAGATAAATACAGAGCTAAAAAAAATTTTTTAAATAGGCAGAAAAGTGTGTTTAAGTTCCCTGACAAGCAGTTTCAGAGTTCATCTGGATGTGTCCTGTCAAAATATGCATAAATTTCCAAGATACTCCACACCACAGCCCAGCTCATCAGTGCCTATAGACTCCAATGTTTTTCTTTTCTCAGAAACACATAATTTTATGCAGGGATTTACCAATCTACAAAAATTTACACAATGCTCAGCAATAACCAGTAATTACTGTGGGATAATGTAAAGCACTTTTGAGGAATATAACTTTGATAGGATAGGGCTCACAGCTTTACCAATTTATGTTTAGCTGTCCTGTCATTGGTGCTTAAGAGGTTAAGACTTTATTTCTGAAAACAGAGAGAGATAGTGAGGAAGCATGTTGTCCACAGCTTCATAAATCTTGCTTAAGATCCTTTTCAATTACCATCCATTTCTCCTTTAAAAAGGGACAAAAAAATAGAGGAGTGGAAGCAGGTCAGGGCAGTGTGCGACAAACGACAGTGTGATGGGCTTGAGCCCCCCGTGGCGATTCCATCTGCTATCATTAAGGTGACTACTCAGACATGAACAAATCCCACTTGCTGTGCTGACAGGCAGACTTCAAGAACTATGACAAGGCATTAAGACAGAAAGTCAGAGAGAGGGAGAGAGAGAGAGAGACAGGTCATATCCCACAAACAATACTGCCTCACAAAAAATGCCCCTGAAATTTTATGGAAATTACAATTTTTAAAATTTCATAAAGGCTGCTAGTTGGCTTCACAACTCTCTTTTTAAATTAGCTTGCTCCTAGAAAGATTGAGGACAGAGAATAAATATCTTGTTCCTACCTGTATGCTTTACCATAAGAGACCCAAATTTTTTGCTCATTCTTCAGCAAAAGTGGATTCTTAATTTCTTGACCACGCTCATCAAAAAGCCGCATTGACGAAAAATTGAGGCCTCGTGGGTTGATGGAAGATCCTTGAATCCTTTGATGAATATTGAGAAGTAACTGTATGGTGGGGGAAAATGATGAAGAAGAAGAAATAGCGTAAAATGTGAACATCTGGAACAAACTGTCTCTACTCTGTAACACATGAAGTCCAAACAAATGATAATTGAATTCATAGAGAATGTTAAAAGAAGTGTGAAATGACAGCAATGTCTGGCTCAGTGTAAAGTAACAAAATGAACATGGGCTTTTAACCAGCAGGGGGTGCCACAGGCTTGTGATTGAGCTCTGACCCTTTGGCACAGGGACTGAAAGCAGATGCGACAGTCTTACAGAAAAAGCATTTAGCTTCTACACACCGTAAAGGTCCTCTTTGATAAGGGCTATGCTTTTCTTGTCTGAGCTACACATTTTGTTAGGGTTCTTCCAGTGTCCTAGATTTACAGATGTCCGAAATTTACAATTGGCGATTTCCCCATCCCTAACTAACTTCAGATAATCAATGGTAGAACAATTCATCACTTCTAGAACTGCAAAAATAAACATGACTTTCAGTCTGTGTTGGTGCACGAAGAACTCTTCCTGGATGTTTTTTAACAGCCCTGCAAGAAGCTTGTGAGCTGCTTCAATAATGGAGGTTTTTCAAGTTGTGAATAAGATATAATTGAAGTGTGAAGTATGAAACGCTGTCATTTAATATTTTAAGAATAGCTACGTCAGTGTTGGCTTCTATCTTACATTTAGGGTGTCTAACTTATCAAGATATTTCTAACTCAAGGCATATTTCAAATGAAAGTAAATCCAAATGAACTGGATTGCATAAGGAATTTTAAAAGACATTTTTCATTATCATCTGTCACCTTGTTTGAGAGTTTAGGTCTCTTCTCTTTCTTGCTCTGTGCCCCACACTATCCATCATTCGGTCTCTCCCCCAGCTTTCTGTCAGGCTTCCTTTTCTTTCTCTTGTCAGTTCTTATGTCTCTCCATTCCTTGTTACTCTGTAATCTCAGCATGGATGTGAATAAAGTTGTGGCCTTTTCTTGACTAGCTGTTCAAGATGCCTTTTTTGCTCCTTGCATTAATTCCCACTGAAGGTATATCAAAGTGCTAACTGCTGAGGCTCAGAGGAAAGAGGAGAAAGTTTAATCCTGTCATATATCTCAGGTTTCCTCACTTATTGATTCAAAACTCTTTACAGAGTAAACTATTTCCTTAGACTAGTAACTGTATTAATAGAATACCTAAGAATTAGGTTTTGTCATAGAGATAAATAATAGCATCTCCAACTTCATCAACTCTACATTGTTTTCATCAACTCTGTACTGACCAGGCTTTTAGCATTAAGCATCAGAAAGGCTGAAAACAACGTCTTTTTCAATTCATTATAGTTAATACTTCTCATCTGGCATAGCCAAGCCCTTTGAATTAAAAATAATGATTACTATTCTCTTTAGGAGTATAATAGGCAAAAGCATTAGAATAGAAAAAAAATCCATATTATTTCTTTTTTTCCATTGAAACCATAACATATTTTGAAATATATAGGTTGTATTTACAAAGCCCTACATTTATTTCTATGTGGTCTCAGCCCTTGAGCTTATTTTTTGTTGCTTTACTATTATTTCAGGAAACATAATGCTGGTTTTTTAAATCACAGTGATTTTGCTTTACAGGCATCACCTTTTTGGTAAAGGGGAAAGATGTAAAATATTTAAGGCCCAGTCCAGAAGAGAAAAGTGTACACAAATAAGAGTGTGTGACAGAGAAAGGGTGTGAATACCTGACCACTTAACCAAATTCACTTTCACAGGAGTTGTATTTTAATCCCCTTTCTTCAATGTGGTGACAGACTGCATTTTACATGTTCAAAGATGAGCATTTGACAGCCTACAGGAGGTAAGGGACTCAATGCCTTTCATCTCTAGGTCATGGTTGGGCTGGGCTATTATGGCCAAAAATTGTGATAATCTTCACCCATTTATCTTTAAAGCTATCATCACCAGCCCTTTATAGGATAAGAATTTGTTCAGGGACCTGAGAAGAGTGTGAAATATCTTAGGCTAGTGATTGAGACGAGTGTGCACCAAGAAAACAGTCATCCTTGAGTGTCACAAGGGCTCTCTCAAGCAAAGAGTTTTATGATGTCCCTAATTCAAGTTTTCCCTCAGATTTACCTGCATATAGAAGCAAAACACAGAACAATGTCAGTGTTCCATAAGCCAACACAAAACTTTCTGCAGAACAGTATCTTCCTGCATAAGAAAGTATAAATGTCATCTTCAATTTTCATATGAACCACAGAGTAAAATATTCTCATGTGAGATAGAGGAAAGACAGAATTCTAAGAAGGCTTCTGTATCATGATGATTCGAATAGTCAGGGATGTGATGGTAAAAAGAAACCAGCCAAGGCTCTTTATACTTTTCTCTCTAATCAAAATAGCATCTCCCATCTCTTTTGGCTCCAGTTAATGATCAGTTGAGAGTCTCCTAATTCTATGCATCTTTCACAAATGACTGTAAAGGCCAGGTAATGGATATCACCAGGAAGAGGTAAGTTTGAGGGTCCTGAACTGAAGAAGAAAAAAAGGAGCAAGTTTCTGAACAAAGGCCATGCAACAGAGCTCAAAACACTGGTGTGTGCTCTGGTGCATAACCCCAATTTGTAAACAACAGAGTATTCAGTGCCCTTTTATACAAGACAAAGACCCAAAATAAAGACCCTGAACATGTCAGTTCTGCTAGAGAAACATCCCATTTGTCTAGAAAATAGGCAAGGTAAGAGTATCAAACAGAAGCTAACTAGACTGGCTCACAATGAGCATGGAAGACCAAGCCTGCATGTTAGTGGCTCAGGGTCTAAGGCTTGGAAATACCCTAGACCCAGAACATATCCGCCAGTGAATATCATGTCACTTCTTACAAAGTGTAACCAAGAGGGCCATCTCAGAGACCAGCGTAGACAGATTTCCAAATATAAGCATAATGAAGGTTGATGCTGTTAAGTAAGAGGCTGAGAGTTAATGCTATACTAAAGCTGAAAGCCTAAGGAATTCAGAAATCAAGCTTGAAATCATCCATCTTTACAGATCATCAAGACTGATCTTCTCTAAACAACTTTAAAGATGCAGTTACCTAAATTAACTACAAGTAACTTGGGAGACACTTACAGTCATAAATAAATGGTCAGTAAACTCACTCTTTCCATCCTGTTGCCACTTTGAGGTGGGCTATTAGACTCCAGGTCTTTTTTGCTGATACAAACAGAGATCTCTCCGGTGTTTTTACCGTTTTCAAATATCTAAAAAGGAAGTGCATTCAAAATTAAAAATAAATACATGGATACATGTGCATACTATATTCATACATGCACATATAAATGTACACAGTACTGGCTTTGCATAGTATGTTGATGACTGAAAGTGGTGCACCTAAGAACTGTGCAAAGCCAGGACTGCCTGTATTAACACGTGCAAATAACTGGCAGTGAAAATCAACAGCACTAGACTAGTATAAAGAAAGTCCCTTGTTTCTCCTTTCAGATTTGGTGTCTTTAACCTGAATGGCATTCCCTATAATCTTAAAATAGAAGGAAATGTGAACATTAAAAGAGGAATCACTGACTACACTGGATGCTTACGTGGGGCAAGCTTCAGAGAAAGGTCAGCTAGCAACCAATTAACTAGCTCATTTCCTGACAAACATAAAGCCACAAATTACGTGAGGGATGTTCGATTTATATCTAAGACATATCAGTGTTCAGTTTATTTTTGACTCATTGAAAGGAAATTCAACCTGACAGATTAATTGCATAACAGTATGATGAAAGCCATCCATTTAAAGTGCATATATGCAACAAGTTATTGAGAACAGAGATAAAATTCATGACATTACATTATGTAACATTTGCTGGAAAAAATGCTAGCAGACATTCTGGATGAAAGTATCCAAACAAACCAGTCCTGAAGGAGAGATCCACTAGAATGACCATCACCCTCAGACCACACTGAGGACCCACGTGGAGTGTGCCATTCACCAGGCAAGAAAGGAAGCAGCCAAGAGGGGCCTAATAAGTAATTTAAGTTCTTGCTTGTTTGATTTTCTTCTCAAAAGTTCTATTCTTCCTTTGCTAATACACCTATCACATCAGAGTAGCCATTTTATTTGTTTCTCGTGCTATTTCCAGAAAAGACAATTTGGTAGAATATTTGTAAAGAAAGAAAACTGATTTACTTTTGAAAGTTTGAGAATTGTTTTATTAGTCCTAACCTGGTTTGGAAGCTAATGTGCTTCAATAGCACTTCTTCAGGCTTAGCAAAAAAAAACCAAAAAAAGATTAAAAAAAAAGAAAGAGTAATAATCAAGAATTTTGTGTTTTTCTCTACTAGGCTTTTCATTGCATTGATGGTCCAGGGGAGACGGTACAACCTTCAAACTTGGTACATTGATATTCCACACCCTGCAGTATCTTCTCACAGAGATTTTTTTCAACCTCTTTTCTGAGTGAAGATACAATTCTGAACAAGCATCTCTCTACTTTTGTAAGGTACTTTGTAAATCCAACTGTCATTGCCTACATACCTATGGAAAGTAATGTGAGGGAGAATCTTACTGTCCCAAAAATCCCTTCAGAGCCTTCATCTAGAGTAAAACACTTAAACAACGCAGACATTAGCAGTGATGATCACAATTCCAGATCACATTCTGGCAACATGAATTCTGCAAAGTTGGTGTTGACAGAACCTTAGTGTGGGGAACTTATTGAGGTTCCTGTGTCAAGGCTTGCTAGACACGGAATCAGGGAGCAGCAAGTTATATTCTAGAAAATAACAGTGCGAGTGCTAACTGCCAAACTGAGAAACCAAACAGGACTTGGTCAACACCTAAGACCTTCATTAGCGCACTGCTGTCTTCACTACTGTTAATAAGCCTTCTTCCCTTCTATGACCAGAAGCATCTTCAACCCTACCCTCTCCTTTCCCCCAAAGGCTCTGGCCTCCAAAAACCCTATAAAGGCGTAAAAGATAAGTTATTTTTGTTTAAGTAAAAGTTTATGTATTTAAGTGAAAGAAGGCTGCCCTCCAGTAATCATTTGTATAATGTGTTTTCTTCTGTATTTCTACAAAAGTACAAATTCCCCAAGCTGAAATGCTATGAGTTTCACCTCTTCTTAAGGCCTAGCTCTGGTTTTTAAGGTCTATATTACCATGCCAATTATTTAAAAATCCAAGTAATACATTTTTTTCCTTCCTTTGTATTAAAAGTATTTTTATTTCTATTGTCTAATGTCTAAACAAAGATAGCTCTCTAAAGAGGGTGGATGATGATAATTGACTAGACACAGGAAAATAAAAAATAGTCTACCTTTATTTTCCTGCTGCCTGATCCTTGACTTAAGGAAAACCAACTGCTATACTGGCTTCCCTGTGGCTCTTGGCAAGGCCTCACTTCCCTACAGCTCTGAGATTAAATTCTCCTACTTGGATGATGCAAACAGCTAGCTGAGGCTAGTCTTGAGTCCCAAGGAGTAAGGTCAAAGAATCTAAGGAAAAAAAATGAGCCAGATCTTCCTGAAAAACATGGTTGCTAATGAGTACTGAAGAAAATACTTAAGAATAGGAATTTACTTCTAAGCCCTCAGTTATACAAAATACAGTTTTGAGGAGGAAAGTTTTCCATGAAATACAGTCTTTTTACTTTGTTCATGTCAGTATTGACTTTCTTGAGCAGGATTATATTAAATTAACACCCGTGTTTCATTGTAATATTGTTAATTGATTCATTCATTCAACAAATATTTATTGGGTATCTACCATGTACCAAGCACTGCTCAGGGGCTTAAGATACACCAGTGAACTCAGATTCCTGCTCTTGAGAAACAGGACAAAAAGTGAATCACACTGCATAATCAAGGTACTCCTGGGTCTTGTGAGGCCACAAAATATTTCCACTAATTATTTGACACACATTTTTTGGCTAAATTGTCTTTGGCTATCTCCTCATGTGGTAATTTTGTAACATTTTCTATAAGGGGCATAGAAAGATAATTCGGTCTTCCCTCTATTATGGTTAATCAATTTTTTTTATTATTTGATGAGAAAAATCACAGCTTCTGAGAAAAATCTGGAAATCTGTAAAATGTGGGAGAATGTTCTACAGATTAGTAGGCTTTGTTAATCGCACACTGTATTCCTCCACCGCCACCCATATACTTTTGGTGTCAGGCACTTTGATCCTCAGTTAGAAAGCAATATACTGCATGGCCAGCAGGTAGTAGCTGTCTTCCAGAAGCTCCTGCCATACCAGGATGGCTAACACTAGCTGAATTGCACAGGGAAGTGACTAAGTACATTCCACTGTGTCCAAACTAAATATATCCCCAACTCAATTTCCCCTTAACCAGAACTCAAAAGTGCCTATAGCCACTTCAATACCACTTGGTATAAGGGAAAGCTTGACAGAGAGGAAGTCAGAGTGGAAACAGACAATGGTCTCAACCAATTTTAGTTAAAATATATTATGTTTATAAATTTTACAGAAATATGTGGCTGTGTGCACACCTTGCTAGAGGCCTCTCCCAGAGTTCTGAAAGGGGCCTATCCACCTATCCAGGGAAGGGGCTCTGAAGCTTAAGTTTTATTAACATCATGGTAAGTGCACCTCTGAGGGGTTTAGAAGGTGGTAAGTGCTATGTAAAGAATAAAAAATGCCGCAGGGAAGGGTATATAGGGTCTGGGATCAGGGAGAGGGATGGGCATGAGGGTCACCACGTAGCAGGTGATTAGCATAGGCCTTCAAGACAGGAAAGATTTGTGTAAAGGCTTGGAGGTGAGAGAGTTAGCCAAGCAGATAGCTGAGAAAAGAGCATCACAGGCAGAAGGAGCTGCTAGAGCAAAGAAACTAAGGCAGGAATGTGCCCCATGTTCTAGGAACCACAGGAGACCAGTGTGCTGGAGTAGAGTGAGAAAGAGGAGGAGTTAAGTAACAGGAAACCAGATGGTTAAGGAGTTGGCAGCAAAATGGGGAATCTGTGGAGGGTTAGGAACAGTGCAGTAACAGGATCTAACTTAAAAAGGACTATTGTGCCTACTGGGTGGAGAGTAGACTGTAAAGCCAGGTAATCTGAAGGGTGGATGATGATGGCTCAAACCAGAGAATTACCAATAGACATGCTGAGAAATAGTGTTTCTGTTGTTAATTCCAGACCAATTTTACTTGCTTCTTTGTTTATTAGCAGGTTGGGAAATAAAATTCATAGCTAGGCTAATATTTCTGAAACCTGATGTCTGCATCTATGGGTATAAATAAATCAAACTAAATATAACTGTTCATAGAAAAGGCACATAGTGGATCTGTGGCATCTTGCTGCACTGAAGGATAGTGACTGCATTGGGGTATGGGGGGGACTTGATAATATGGGTAAATGTAGTAACCACATTGTTTTGTCATGTGAAACCTTCATAAGAGTGTATATCAATCATACCTTAATAAAAATTTTTTTAAAATAAGATAAAACAAACAAGCTATATATATATAACTGTTCATATGCAGTATTTGTTAAGGCATAAAAGGTCAACAAGGTATTACAAGAATTTTATTTACTGTGGAGATTTTATAGAGACAGTGACCAAAACTTAAACTACATGGGGAAAGATGACCTAAATGAAGAGTTTTGAGCTAACGTGGTTCTTTGACAAGTTTGCCTGACATTGTTTATGACATCTATTTAAGGACTTGTATAAGGCCTAGCTCAGTGCCATTATTCAGGCTTTAATGTTATGAGTCTGGTTAAGAGCTAGTTGGGGGAGAAAAAAGGTTTCTAAACTCTCCATAACTGCTGGGCAGACCTCCCAGGAAGCTCTTTTGTGTGTGAGTGGAAGGCCAAACACCTAAGCTTCCAAATGTCTCAGGATGCTGTCAAGAGGCAATAATAGGAAAATGACAGTGCAGTGTGTTGCCAGAAGTTGGGAGGCCACACAGTAACAGGATTTACTAGTAAAGGTCTGGTGAAGAAAAGGAATATAACATAGCCACTTAAAAGTATTTGGCACATTTCAAGTGAATATAATTAAATATGTTGAAATGAGATTAAATTACACCTTGCCTTGGATTGGGGCACCCAGGAAACAGACCCTACGACCAAGATTTATTTGCAGGAAGTTTACTGGGGTGGGATACTGCAGAGGGAATTAGGTAAGCAGGAGTGGACAGGGAGGTGAACTCTGATGCAGTTGCAACAGAGGCCTCTGGTGGGAGCTCTGGAGCTGGGATGGTTCTTCAGAGTTGTCCAGAATTGAGGCA